CATGCCGTCTGTTCCATTACAGTCGGCTACTCTCCCTCGAGTATTTTACTCACAATACTTAGCTAAAAAGTTTAGGGCCTGGCCGATCCTGTAACTAACAGGCGGCTACCCTTCTTTTACTTAGCACATACGTTCACCAAAAACATACCAAGGCCACTGGCCGAATGATCAGACCAGGCGCCTAGTCAACTGATCTAACTTTTAAAAACTAATCCGACCTGTCCCAACATTATAGCAGGCGTCCGGCGGCATCCATTCGGATGAAATTCGTCGCAGAGAGCAGCTCCCTTTTGGGTGGAACATTGTTCTATAAACTAATTACACGGCACCTATACGACTGTCCCAAAGGGCAACCACGTAGCCGTTTTTGAGACAAGGATAACTCTATCACTAACCAAACCAGTGGTAGCAGTTGACATCTGAGTCAGATGACCGCCTGTATTACTTGGGATAAATGCAGGGGGTACCTATTGAGTTAATAGCCAACAAACATTGGCGAATCAAGGGGTCTAGCCGGCCTACGCCGCCTGGTACCTCTACTTCTCAAATAAAAGTGACGGCGACTGAGTAACTCCAAAGTTAACTCATAGTCACTCCTTCAAATTTGGTATGGAACCTAAAAAGTTTGAGTCGTCCGCCTGTTTTATACAAACAAGGGCACTCGAACCCCTATTCCTACTGGATAACCTATTGAGTAAATAGCCAACAAACATTGGTAAATCAAGGGGTCTAGCCGGCCTACGCCGCCTGATACCTTTACTACTCAATCAAGATTGTGACGAAGACTAAGTAACTCCTATGTTAACTTAATAGTCACTCAAACTTAGTACTGAGCCTAAAAGGTACGAGTCGTCCACTTGTTTTTAATAAACAAAGGCTCTCAACCAATACTCTTGCTAGGTTAACAAATAACAAATTAGAGGCCAACATTGGCAATAAAGGGAAACAACCGGTACCCGCCGCTTGTTTTCCTACTTAAATTCCTTGGCTACTTGGTAATTCTATTTACTTGGTCAAATTGAATAAAGAGTTCGAATACCGATTGATTAAATGGCCGACTGATCATCTATCCTGGAAACAGACAACCAGTCGTCCAGGGGCATAGGCGGCATACTTACTATTTGTACCTGTCTTAACGTTCGGCCATACACAACAGTCTGTCTAGTGAGCAAATTTCAAATACTTAGACAAATTTGAACAAAAACAAAAAATTTGATTAAAATGAGCCGGCCATAAAAGACCAGCAGAATATTCAAAACCCCGGCTCCCTGGCCGGGTAATTACAAAGCAAACGGCACGCAGGCCGTGAAAAGAAAAAATATACTTAAAGCTTAAGAAGGGGCAGTTCAGTATCAGCAGCAGCCGCCTGGTCAGCACTCTTCTTGCTGGACTCGGCCTTCGCTGCATCATCTTTTGATGCCTTTCCCCCAAGTGGCACAAGCGCCACAACAGGCTCTTCCTCCTCCAACGCAACGTCCATCGCCTCTTCTTCAGCAGCCGCCAGGATCTGTTGATTATATATTTCCGAACACTGGCGGTACGTTCTTTCCCATGAGGCAAAGTCGGCACTGGGGAACAGTCGTTCCCAGGTCATGCGTTGGATTTGGGCGGAGTCTTCCACCATCTCCCGGACGAGCTCTTGTTTTTCTTGCTCGGCCTTGTCCGAGAGCTCTTGGGTAAGACTCTTCTCCTGGTTCACCAGGCGTTCTTTTACGTTAGCCAAAGATTTCTCCATGGCTTCGTAAGAGTGCATTTTCTGGCGAAGGGGTTTCAGCTCGGCTTTAAATTTGGTGACGGTCCCCTCCAGCTCGTCAACCTTCTTTTGGGCCGCCTCTAGCTGAGCCCGAACAGCGGCGGTCGCCTGCGCCTGATAATAAAGAAGATCAATGGTCAGTACTTCATTTTGGGCAATTTGAAACATTGCTTTATCACAGCTGGAGGCGGCCATAGCCTTTGCGGCCTTTACCTCTTTGTTTTTCCGATCAATCGGCTTGCGAAGGCTGTTGACTCGGAGCAGGGCCTAAGTACAAAGAAAAACAGGCGTCAGTTTCCAATCATAAGGATTAACAGGCGTCCTGGAACTTCAAAAGGGTATACCTCAGCTAGGATCCCCGAAATTCCATCGAGGTCAAGGGTGCCGGCACCCTTGACCGCCTCCCTGTCAGAGGGAGGAACTACTTTAACCATTGACTTGGCTACCTCAACCAAGTCAAGTCCCTGGGGGCCGGCTGCATTAAGCAAAAGGAAAAACAAGTTAGACCTAATCAAGAAGGAAGCAAGAGTGAGTTTTTACAAGCAAGTGTCCATACATCTAGGCGGCCCCGCCTGGGTTTTTGAGGAAGTGGCCGGCTGCTTCTCAGCCGCCACTGTTTTCCTGGAAGACCCAGGAGAGCTTGCAACAGTCGTTCTCCGGGCCTTGGGGTCCGGCTGTTGCGAGGAAGAAGCCCTTGGAGTGCCAGACTGAAAACAAAAAGAGTTAGTATATGCATAATACAACTTAAAGGGGAAGAGTTTTCAAAGCTTACCAAGGGTGCCTCCTTGCTGGGGGAGTCGGCGTACGACTGCTTCATTAGCGAAACCCGCAGCATGGCCGCCGCAGTCTTAGATGCTGTTATTTTACTCATGGCGTCGGCTGAAAGAAATAAACAGCAAAGTTAGTAAAAATCCCAAGTAAACAAGGCGTGAAAAAACAGAGTATTCGTCAGTCCGGCTACCTCTAGAGCACCGACTGCCGAGGCCACAGGCGGCCAAGAAGTACTCATCATAGAGCCACTTGAAGCTCGGGACGCAGTGTAGGGGTACTTGCTCTCGTACCCCTGAAGTAGAGTTCACCCTAGTCTCTACTTTGAAGAGTCCTTTGTCTAGGATCTCTCTTTTAGCCTTTGGGGAACAGGCGGCATGCTGCGGCCGCCTGCAAGAAGAGGCGGATCCCTGTTCCACTTGTTAAAACGTTTGTTCAGCTCCGTGTCTGAACTCTCGATAATAAGGAAGGTGTTCCGCCAATCCTTCCATTTGTTTGCCTTACCTCTCGTCATGAGGTAACCCCTGTGGCTTGTTAGTTGATACCAGCCGGTACCTCCCGACTTAGGGGTCCGGCTGAGATAGTTCATGTGGGCGAAAGCCTCAAAACTTGGCTCCACCCCGTTCAGTTCGCACCCGGCCACATAGCCGAGTACGTTTACCCAAGAGTTGGGGGCTAACTGCCATAACCCCAGATCATACCCATCTAAAATCCGCTGAACAGCCGGATGTAATGGGAAGCGCAGACCAGCTTTGATGGCCGCCACATAGCAGCCAAAACAGCCGTCACCATAGCTGGTACCAGCCGGCCAGACGACAGTATCTTCTGGATCCGGCACAAACAGTAAATACTCCGGGCCCATTTTGTGGTTAGCAATAAAGCTCGCCACGTTGTCTCGCATGGTTGCGATCCGGCCCCGGGGCACCCTGCAGTAGTAGGGGGTGTTTTCCTCTCTGTAAGAGGCGGACGGCTCTGCCCAATTATCCCCCTTCTCCACTGCATGGGAACTTCTCGCCTCTTGTAGGCGGTTATGTTTTTCTTCTGAGTCAGAAGAACTATGGTCAGAAGAACTATGGTCAGAAGAGCTGGAATCGGACTCGTCCCCTGACGAGTCCGAAGAGGACGACGCCTCCCCTCTCCTAGAGGGGCCCGCCTCCTCTCCCTTAGAAGGAGCAGAAGGTAAATTAGACATGTCCACGGTTAGATGAGAAGGGAACACCTTGGTCCCTCTCTCAGAACTGTCAGCTTGACAGTCGCCTCGTTCCACATCTGGCGCCTGGTCAGATGTTTCGCTAAGGAGTACCCTTTGGGAGGAGCCGTCTGAGTTTGATATTCTAGCAGTCTTTTTTGTTCTGGCCATCACGTTCTGCATAGACACAGATTCAGTCGGACTCTGTATAAAGGGCAAAGATGGGTCCAGAAAAGGGCAGGCGGCACTCCTAGTCCTAGATTCAGCCGTCCCCGGTGACCGGCTGATCACTAACTTAGGGCGTGTCGTGTGCTTCCATGGTGCCATTTCAAAAAATAAAAAGAAAATTAAGAGTAAGAGAACTGAGTTACCTGAACGGATGACAGTTGATGAAGTCCTGAAAGTTCGGGTCAGTCGGCTTGTCAGAACAGGCGGTAGGCAGAAAAAGTCCGAAAATGTCAGAGCAAGTTCAGGGGTCCGAATGTTCTCGCAAAAATTCTCAAATGTGAAAATGACCGAAGTCAGCACTTCCTTTTATAGGCAAAATGAGAAGGCGAAGGGTCGCTTCCGAATTCAAATTTGGGCGGGAGAGTCTCCCGGCCGTCTGCAAGGTGACACCTGTAACGGGCCGTCGCCTGTCACCGTGCGACGCCTGTCACAGGCGACACGTGACCAGTCGCGTGCCACCTGTGAGGGGCAAATGATTAGGGGATTTTTATCCACCAAGCGCCGTTTGACAAGTGGACCAACCAGGTTCCGCCACGCGTCCTCCACGGACCACTTAAGACACGCCACGTGTCCACCCATGCCAAATGGGACAACCGGCCATCAAGGCCCATTTCAGTCTAGAAGCCCGTTCGGCCCTAGGTTTACCTTAAACCTAGAGAGTTGCACGCTTCCCAAGGCTATAAATACTCGATTAATCCTCATTAATCAAAGGACCGAATAATTAACAGAACAGAGGAGAAACATTACGGAACACACTAATAACCGGCTGATCTCGCTAGCAAAGCAGATTACCTACATTAAATACTCTCACCTAGAGAGACCTTATTACTTTAATTTCTGTATTAATTACTCCTTAATCAGGTACTAACTTGACCGTTGGAGGCGGAGCTCTCAGGAGTCTCCGTTATTTTGCAGGTACAGGCGTCCGGTTCCAGTCTCGGAATTGTAGCTCTCCCGCAGGACATCAGAAAACCCCGAAACACATACAATGATTAAAATTTTTTTTATTCTTACATATTGCTTTTGTTTTACCTTTTTTCCTATTATTTAAAAATACTACAGTTGTCAAATACAATCAGAACAAACAACATGAAAAGACCTCCGAAACGTGCATACGTTCTTCTTGTGCCGACGCTTTGTGAGCATTGTGGAGCAAAACTATTTAAAGATGAGTTAATTAACCTATGTTCAACTAAGGGGAGATTCGAGTTGCTCCTAACTATATGCCAGACATTTTGCGTAACCTATTTCTGTCGTTGGATAGCAGTTTCGAAAGTTTTCGTAAATGTATTATTCTGTACAACAATATGTTTGCGTTTACATCTTTGGGTGTGAAGAAGGATAAAGAATTAGCGCAAAGACATCATGGCATTTACACATTTAGAGTTCAAGGGCAAGTTTATCATTACATAAATGATATACATCGAAATGATGAGCAACCACGATATCTGCAGCTATATTTCTATGACACTGATGTTGAGTACCGACATCGTGTATCAATTTTTAAGAATCTTGATCCACGTGTTATCGGCCAATTAGTGCGATTAATGGAGCTAAATCCGTATGCTCAATTTTTCTGGTCACTTAAAGACGTTAATATAGTTGATACAAGTCACATTATAATCCGATCTGACCCAGATCAAGATCAACGTACTCACAATGCACCTACTTCTTCTCAAGTGGCGGCAATCTGGTTGGAAGATGCAGGCACATCTGGTCCATTGCAGGGCGATATTGTAGTTCGCGCATATTCAAGTGTAAACCATTGTATACTGCATTACTATGGATGTTATGATCCATCACAGTATCCGATTTTATTTCCTTAAGGCCAAACTGGTTGGCATAGACGGATATACAGATTTAAAACAAAGCATCATAAAAGACAGGAATGCCATATGTTTCCGATTAATGAAGTTCTTGTCCAAACTGTTGACGATCTTTTAGAAGCTGAAGAACAAGGTTTGCCTATTAAATAATTTATCAGGAAAAAATTACATTTTAATCAACAAAAATAACATCACGTATTTTTTTACCTTTTTTTTTATATAGGCATTCGCTCATCAACGTCGGAAAAAAAGTTTCGTGTTGAGAGTATCACTGCTACTGATTATAGATCTGTATACGAGATTATTCCTTTCTTCTGAGATGTGCCGCTTACTACAACAATACATTGTTGATATGTACATCAAAATCGAAACTTCACGTCTGGATTTTATTCATCGTAACCAAGATACAATCAGAGCTGAACTTTACCAAGGCATTCTCGACAGCTTGAACACAGGCGTATCGCATGGGTCAAATATCAGGCGTGGAATTATTCTCCCTCCTTCATTTATTGGTGGTCCACAAGATATGAGGCGCAGATACCTGGATGCGATGGCTTTAGTTCAACACTATGGAAAACCTGATATTTTCTTAATCATGACCTGCAACCCTTCATGGCCTGAAATTACAAATGAACTGCTTCCCCCACGAAGAAGCGCAAAACAGACCTGATCTTATTGCGCGAGTTTTCCATGTGAAATTAACAGAATTTAAAAAAGATATTGTCCAAAAGAAACTGTTTCGCGAGGTAGCAGCATATGTTTACGTAATTGAATTCCAAAAAAGAGGATTACCACACGTACACTTTAAACCAATATGATGAGCATGTCTGCACAGAAATACCTGAACAAAAAACTAACCCTCATTTACATGAAGCTCTCTTAAAGCATATGATGCATGGCCCTTGTGGAAATGATAACCAAGGAAATGTATGCATGCGAGATGGAAAGTGTAAAAAACATTACCCTTGAAGCTTTTTTGAGACGACCTGGACAAGTCATAATTCATACCCTATATACCGACGTCGTAATGATGGAAAAAAATATATGGTACATAGAGTACAACTTGATAATAGGTGGGTAATACTATTTACTTGCAAAATATGATTGTCATATAAACGTAGAAGTGTGTTCTACAATAAAAGTAGTTAAATATTTGTATAAGTATATACACAAAGGTCACGATCGGGTTGTTTTTGCTTTATCTAACCCAGACGACATAAGCATAGGTGATGAGATCTCTTTATTTCAAACAGTAAGATGGATATTACCCCCATAAGCTGCTTGGCGTATTTTTAGATTTCCTCTGAATAGTATACACCCAAACGTTGTTTCTTTGCAAGTACATTTGCCAAATATGCAAACTATGACATTTCGTGCACAAGAAAAGTTACAAACTGTTGCATCTGACTTATGCAGACAACGAACTATGCTAACTGCTTTTTTTGAGATGAACCAAGTTGATGATTTTGCTCGCACATTACTGTAACAAGAATTTCCTCAACATTATACATGGCATGCAAAAAAAGTGAAAAATTTTGGCGACGTCGTCGATCGGTAACTACTGCGATCGGACATGTGGTACATGCGAATCCATCAAAAGGTGAACGCTTTTATTTGCGGTTATTGCTCACAAGTGTTCGTGATCCAACCTCTTTTGATTATTTGCTGACCTTCAACAATATTCTTCATTTAGAGAAGCAACATTTCAGCGAGGTCTACTCGAAGCAGGCGATTCTATAGACAAATGCCTACAAGAAGCTTCCCAAAGTCAGATGCCTTTTGCCTTACGACGCCTATTTGCTACATTATTAGTATACTGCAATCCTGATGATCCAAACTGTTAGTGGGAAAAATATTACCCATATCTTTCTGAAGATTATAGTCATAACTTCCCTTCGAACAAAAAAAAGGCTCGCAAATTGACTATAAAAAGCATTTGTTACCTTGTTGATGGGAAAGTCTTTCGACACTTATAATTTTGGATTGTTAGAGCTTGAAGAAGATGACTTCGTGAAAGGAATGAAAGAAATTGAAGAAGAGCTTCAGATTCCCGTACATCCAGAAGAAATAAATGCAGTTGATTTACTTAATAATGAACAGAAAATTGCATACAATACAATTTATAACAAAGTCCTTGATAATAAGCCGGCTACTTTCTTTGTTGATGGCCTTAGTGGTACAAGAAAGACTTTTTTATATTCTACATTACTTGCTAATATAAGAGCAAAAGGAATGATTGCTTTAGAAGTTACGAGTTCTGGCATTGTTGCATCTAGTCTGTCTTGAGGTAGAACTGCAAATTCTCAATTCCAAATACCTTTAGATGTTGATGAGATTCCAAATCCAAGTATTTCCAAACAAAGTGCTCTAGGACAGCTTATTCGTCTTGCAAAACTTATTATATAAGATGAGGCGCCAATGGCAAAGTGTCAAACAATTGAATACTTTGACAGATTGCTACAAGACGTCTGTTCAAACAAACTTAAATTTGGTGGAAAAGTTGTTGTATTTGGTGGTGACTTCCGACAAGTACTACCTGTTATACCGAAAGGAAGTCTGAGTGAGGTTATTGTAACAAGTTTTGTGATGTCTCCCTTATGATATGAACTCCAGAAAATCCACCTAACACAAAATATGTAAGCAATCGATGACTCACCTTTTTGTAAATTTGTCTTACAAATCGGGAATGGCATGCCCCCTTATGAAGATGGGAAAAATATAAAGCTACCTAAACCTTTAGTCGTACCGTATGACAATGAAGACTCATCTCTGCAACTCTTAGTAAAAAGCATCTACCTTGATATTTCGAACACAACTTCTGATTCTTTCCTTGCAACAAAAAGAGCTATTTTAACTTCAAATGAACATGCTACAAAGATAAATTCTCTTTTAGTACACCAACTGCCAGAAAGTGCTTATGATTACAAAAGTTTTGACAATTGCACAAATGATTTGTCCGAACAATATCCATTTGAATTTCTTAATAGCCTTGCCCCATCTAGCCTTCCACCTCATCATTTAACTTTAAAGGTAGGCAGTCCAATAATTTTGCTTAGAAACCTAGATCCGACATCAGGCTTGTGCAATGGTACGAGATTAGTATGCAGAGCTTTTTTCCCTAATGTTATTGATGCTGAGATAATTGTGGGACATCATTACGGTCAACGTGTTTTTATACCTCGAATCCCATTACAGCCGTCAGCTACGGAAAAGTACCCTTTCAGATTTACTCGCAAACAATTTCCAATCAACCTAAGTTTTGCAATGACTATTAACAAGTCTCAAGGTCAAACACTTGATAGAGTTGGCATATATTTACCGCAACCGGTTTTTTTCTCATGGTCAGTTATATGTTGCATTATCTCGGGCTAAAAAAAGTAAACATGTCCTGCTATCGATAAAGCCAACTGTGGATGAACCAGATGGATGGAGAAGGACTAAAAATGTTGTATGCTATGAAATCTTAAAGCACGCTTGAATATTGTAGACCATTTTTTTTAACAAATACAGTACTAGCACAGAGTTTACAAACATACGTTTCTTTTTATTCTACATAATACAATAATATTGCTTTTTTAATTGTTATAACTTTTACTAATACCACTTTGATGACAGGTTGATATCTTTCTTGGACCCAAAAAATGGTTACTCAACAACTTACCCTCGCCAGATTGACATATCAAAGCCGCAACTTCCCCATCAAAGCCGCAACTTCACCACAACAGCTACATTAGTACGGAAGCACCCACCTAAAACTTCTCGAGGAGGCTCCACAAACTTGCAGCAGCTTGTATTTGAAGATGCAGAGGTATGCTGTATACATTTTATAACATATAATTTATATTAATTTACGTAATGATTATTTAATATAAAATTTGTCAGGTACACAAATGAAGGATGTGGTCTTCGAACGAGATATTGACCTTTTTGCAAGTCTTCTTGTCGAAGGAAGAGAATATAACATTACCAACCCTGTCATATCTCGTGTTCCTGATGTGTTCGTTCGAAACAATCAGCTGTACCAAATGGCAATTAATTCCTGAACAAGAATTTCTGAAACACGGCAGCTGCCCGACACACGTTCATACCTTGTTCCACTTACTAGGGTTATGGAATTTGTTGCCAGAGATGATCGAATGGGTAAACATTACTTATTATTATTAAAATGTTGCAATTACTTTAGGTACATCATAAATATACATGAATTAATCAGAATATAATTCAGTTCATTTTTTTTTTTTTTTTTTTGCTAGACATCATTGGAATTGATGTTCACATACACGATATAGCAACCATTCGCTCCAAGAGTTCTAGGCTGCCGATTGAAGTGCGTAGGATTGAGTTAATAGATTACAAGTATGTTTACGTGCTACAAGAAAAAATTGCTTTTCCAATCCAATTTTTTTTTCAATTAATTATAACTATCACTATTAACCATTTTATTCCTTCTATTTTTGCCAGCATGAAACCTGTTATGTTGTCAGTATGGATTACTTTGGTTACTCACGAAGTAGCTGTTGTTGCTGAAATTATAAATACAATGCCTAATTTAGAAGTATCTCGCGTCAAAGCATCAACTTTTAATGGTATATGCTATAAACATATATTCATAGAATAATGAGTACACTTTTATACGATATATACATTTACAGATGGTTCATTCAACACAACCTTTTCTTCTACAATAAACATTAATCCAAGTACTGCAAAAGTGCAACTTCTTCGAGATTGGTAAACAATATTTCCCAAAATAATTCTATTTGTGAAGTTATTATTACGTAACTAACATTGTTATTGTATAGGGCGGCGAATATTGATGACCAAATTCGAAACCTTTAAAATTCATTCGCAACAGAAATAGCAGAAAGTTCTCAACAACCTGAAGCAATAATTCCAATTTCACAATTATCCGAGCAAGAGGTAAATTACATAGTATGTTTATCTACACTATAAAGCAAACAACATAATGTTTTGTATAACTATATCATGCATTTGTTTTTTACAAGTCTAGAAAGACAGTATGCATCGTTGGCCGAGTCATTGACATCACAAACAAGAACAGTATAGTATAAAATGCCTGCAATGTCTACAACAAACGATGTGAGATTGAAAGAGGATCGGTGTTAAACTGTCGTGCATTCAGCACCCCACATGTTGGGACGTCTGAACCACGGTAACTGATGTACCACTACTAATAACGTAGCATACAATTACTCCTTTTCTTTATCCTATTTAATGTCTAATCATGCATTATCGTACACATTGTAGAACTGTTATCACTTTTGCTGACGACTGTGGCGACATACCGATCACACTTTTCGGTCATTTTGCTGAACAACTGATAAACAATGATGCTAATCATATGGCCATGCTCACATTACAAGTATGTATGGTTTAACTTATTACTATTACCTAACAATTTCAATTTATATTGAACTCAAAACTACAACTTATTTACAGTAACCATAATACGAGTAAAAAAGTTCATTTTATACACAATTGCAGGAACAAAGGTCTCTTGTAGATGGATGCATTGCAACTTTAAAAGACAAAGTGCTAACCATCGAGATGACCACATACATGTTGGGAGAAGGATTTCAACAGCTCCGATGGAAAGCTAAACGCATTATTGGAGCTTAGATGTATAAAGATTTTCAGACATGCTTATGAACGTATTTATGTGTATAATTTCATGCTTTTATTTTGAACTTTATTTCCTTAGACAATTACAACTTTTAAATGTGTATTAAATAATGTTTGTTTGTATACATATGTACAAATATATGTAGATTTACATCAAATAAACTTTTATTTTAAGTATTTATCATATTTTGATGCTTAATTCTGTAATATAGTAAGTCCTGTACGATTTATTCGGACACCAACTGCATAGGATTAATATGATAGATTTTAAGTGCATAGGATTGAGATGATAGATTCGAAATATATATATATATATAAATATATATATATATACACACGTGTAAATTGTACAATTTGAACTATAATACACTTGTATACCAACTTCAATCTCGCATCGACATCTTCTAGTTTCGCGGCATCTCCACTTCATGGCGATCCATCGCTCTACTCTCCTACCGTCAAACTCAATCCTCCCTCACTCTTCCGCCACCGTCTTATCTCCCATCACAATCTGCCGCCTCGAACACCACTCCGGCGGCACCGCTGTCTTGATTAAGGTGGTTGAATCATTCTCCGGTGAATTACAGGTCGTTAGCCCACTCTCTACCACACCATTTCTGGGTAATAGTAGTTTTCTCAGGACGATTAACTTGGTGGATTTTTAGTTGATCGAGTTAGATAGAGGTTACCGTTTTGAGATTGAAGCTTCGCGTTCATGGAGGTCTTCGAGAAATTTTAGGTGTGTAAAATCGAGAATTTGGGGGTTTGATTCTAGGGTCAGGTTTTGGAACCGATTGATTGTTGGAGATTGGTGAAATGAGAAGTTAGGTGCATTTTAAAAAATGTTATGGACTTTGTGTCTTTGTTAAAGGTGATTCTGCTGCCATTGATGTTGGAATGAGGAAAGAGAAAGGAAGAAAATTAGGGGGAGGGGAGGGGTCGTTTTTGGGGGTAATTGTGTCTTTTTGCAACTAGTTGCTAAATCATGGTTAAGGAATTAACAAATTGTTTAACTTAAGTTACCCTTTTGCTTAGTAATATTACTTCGTTAGTACCATTGATAATCAAAAGTTTCAGACTTAACCATTGAGAAAAAATAAAACTTCGTGGTTATTAGAGAGAATTTTCATAATAATAATTATAAATAAATAAATAAATAAATACATTAGTATAAAAAATTAAAATTAGAAAAATAAAAATAATTAAAATAACTTCATATCATATCAGAAAAATAAGTTCATTTCAGATCAGATCAGTAAAAATAAATTCTAATCATATCGGATGAAAAAAATAAGTTCAGATCAGATCATATCAGAAAAAATAAACTTAGATCAGATAAGAAAAATTGTGAACAAAACAAGGCATTACTCCTACGAGGGAACTCTAACCACAATAGCAGTTATAAGACAAAAGAGTGGTGAATTTTTTTTTTCTTCTAGTGGTACAAATATTGTACCTCTGTTACATATAATGGCTATAAATAGTACTACTAAAATAACTTATACTTTAGTAGTATAAAATACAAGTATAATAGTACATTAAAAATACTACTGTAAGTATATAGTAATATAAAAATACCACTGTAACAATAAAAAATCACAAAAATTAAGTAAATTTACAAGTTAACCCTCCTATATGCATTCCAAACAAATAGCAGTTATGCGCCTAGTTGCACTCTCCCTAAGACTAATAACTAATATAACATTAAAAATTGCTTACATAGCAACATATGTGTTACAACAATACCAATTTATCTCCTACATGACGCGACACTTGGCGAAAAACTGTAATGCCAAGTGTCGTTGTCTCGTGATCTGACCGCGAAACCGACTTTATTTATTAGTGACATATTCATATATATATATATGATATGATATTAGATTTCCAACAATCTATTCCCAACCTCATTTCTACATTTTAATCCTTAAACTCCCATTCTCACGTTCCAAACGACTCGTAAGGCTAATAACTAAAATAACGTTAAAAGCTTGAACCCTAAATTGAATTAAAAACCAACCCTAGCATAATCAACCGCCACTCCCCGCCATTGTTACAAAGCTCGAAGCAAACACCAAAATGGCAGCAACAGAAATGGAGGTCGAAGTCGAACAACAACCACTATCCAATTCAAACTCAACCCCATTAAAACGATTTGGCCTCAAAAATTCCATCCAAACCAACTTCGGTGATGATTACGTCTTCCAAATTACTTCCAGGTACTCTTTTTCTGCTGCAAATTTCAATTTAGGTTTTCAATTTGTTCAGAAATTCAATTTCATCATTCTATATTGTTTGATTTTGTGATGTTAAGGGAAGATTGGTCGGCTATGGCGGTTTCGTTGTCGAATGATTTGGTGAAGCTTTACTCGCCAACAACAGGGCAGTATATTGGAGAGTGTCGAGGTCACACTTCTACTATCAATGAAATCGCTTTCGCCGATTCTTCGTCGCCGCATCTTTTGCTTTCGTGCTCGTCTGATGCCACAATTCGAGCTTGGGATACTAGAAATCTTCAACAGGTAAATTTTGCTTAGAAATTGGTGTTTTATTTTCCGTTTAATTCAACTAATTATAAATAGTCCTCCTTTCTTTAATAATTGCAATAATCGGATAAATGTTACGGAGTAGTGTGTAAAATATAGTTGGGGGTATTTTCAATGTATATTTTTTTTCAAATTATTAACTCTTTATAATTATAAATAATGTGTTTTTATGCAGGTGTCTTTGATTAATGCCGGTCCATCTCAGGAGGTTTTTAGTTTTTCGTACGGTGGAGTAAATAATCTTCTTGCTGGGGGATGTAAAAGTCAGGCATGTATGGAAGTGCTCCTTTTTTAAAATTTTATGATGTTGATCATACGTTTACAATTGTAGCATATATGTGTTGTTTAGTTGGGACGTCGTGATATGGTTGTAGTATTATCTGTCGACCTTGGTCTTGGTAGTTGGGTATTTTGGGTAGCTAGCATTGCTTTCTGTATTCTTGAAGGATTGTGATTTGCATTGGACTCATATCTTGACCGAACACATTATCTTTGGATTGTGAGATGTTTTAACAGTTGGATATAATGTTTCATGAACAAGTAATGTGTCCATGATATGTTGAGATTTATAGAATATTGGGATCAGCTTCTGGATATAGTATTGTGGTTCATGATAAAAAATGTTGTGCTGTGTGCTCTGAAAAAGAGGAGGTTTTATTTTATTATCATTATTTTTTTTAATTTTATTTTTTGCCATTGATTGTATTTCCGTTACATGTTTCCATGAAGATACTGGACTAGAGAATGAATTTGTACCTTTAAGGGCTTATCTGAATAAGGTATAATTATTAAGGGGTAGATATTAATTACAAAGTGAACTATTATTCAGTAATTGACTTATGAGTAAAGGGTAATTTAAGTTTGTGGTTTGACATGTAGCTGATTAATACCGACCCAAACTCCACACCACACCACCAGCTCGGAAACATTCTTCGACCACCTCCACCACCTCTATTGACGACCCCAACAAAATGAGAAGAGAAAGAGAGTGACAGAGACTAAACCACCATTGAAGCACAAAATTTGGCTTTAAATGGTGGATTTTGATCACTAAAGTTCTAGATGGAACTGTGATGGTCAAGTTTGACCACCAAAAAGCCATTATAAACTCTTGAACTAATGGTGATGAAAGAAGAATGAGGGTGGTGTGAGAAAAAAATAGCGGTGACAAGAGAATGACGGTGATGGTGACTTGGTGTGAGAAGAGTGGCAGCGGTGAGAGAACGATGATGACAGGGAGATAAGAGCGGTGGTGATAGGAGGAATGATTGGGATTTTGGGACACTGATGAGAAAGTCAAAGCTTTGAGGATTGAAAAATTACAAAAATATAATGGAGAGTAAAAACTGCAGGCACAAAAATATAACCCCATTCCAGGCATATGGTTTAGCCCCATAGAAAATACCCCTTTTAATCATTCACAGCCTTTCTTGAGGACACCATACCAAACGTCCGTTGTAATGATGCACATGTATCTTTATGGGATACATCAAGAGATATAGCCTCAATTTGTTCAGGTCTACTTTGCAAGTTAACTTCATCACTATAAAAGATATTGGTGACACTGCTTTCACAATGACCTCTGCGCCAGTTCCTGCAATCAACTGATTAGACATCATCTCACTTGTAAATTCATGCAGATACTTATCTGGGATTGGAGGAATAAAAAGCAAGTTGCTTGTTTGGAAGAATCTCATGTGGAAGATGTGACTCAGGTAGTAGATGTATCTCTGTGTTTGGTAAATTGTAATTTCTCTTGTATTCTGTACCCATTTTCTAGTAATCCATAAGTCCATGCCCTCACACCCAAAAGGAAAATAAAATGAATATTTGTATATTCTTTTTCTTTGGACCTTGGTTGTTGCTGAGCATGTTGATTTTTAACAGGTCCGTTTTGTTCCTGGTACTCAAAACAAGCTTCTTTCAGCCTCTGTTGACGGTTTGATGTGCCTATTTGATACTTCTGGAGACATAAATGATGATGACCATCTATATTCTGTAAGTCTGGGCGCTAGTCTATTTTCTATTCACTCTGCTACAAGCCTAAATACAGAACATTTTGGATGTCTAATTATTTACCCTTGCTGAGATGAGATTTTCTCCTTTATATTTGTAGGTGATGAATGTGGGTACATCAATTGGAAAAATTGGGTTTTTTGGGCAAGACCATGAAAAGCTTTGGTGTCTGACTCATATTGAAACCTTAAGGTATTATTGACAGGTGATTTGCTTTCCTGGTTGTCTATCATCCTTCTGCACCATTGTTTGTAGCTCTTTGATGGGCTTCTTAGGAAGTAAGATTGATGATACTAATCTTAAATACAGAAGATGTATCATTTTATTTTATAAAAAACATCCCTAAATATTACTCCTTTTCTTGAGTTGTTTATAGTTGTAAACTTGTAATGTTTCATTTGAGAAGAGAGAAACTTTGACTATGAGTAGAAATCTATGTTTAAGAAAAATTAGTCATGTCTGGTTACTTTATTCGTCTCAATGTTTAGTTTCAAAGTATTAAATTTTTATAATACATATGTAAAGAATACATATAATAATCCTCAAACGTGTGCATTGAAAACAGTGTATAAAGTAAACAGGGATGATTCCAAGAAACTGTTGGAATATTCCCTGTTTTTAATAATATGGACAGTACAGAGTAACATTTTGTGCAATTAAGCCAACATATGATATATGATTAATGCTTGGACTGTTTTTCTAAGCAATCTTTTACTAATGAAATCGATTATTTCTAGAGGGAATAGTGGACAAGGATGTATACGTATATTGTACATGTATTAGTTATAGAAAACTGAATGACTGTATTGCAGTACTATGGTAGCAATTCAGCTATTATCTGAATTCACTCTTGTTGGTTACAATATACATCCCTTCTCTGCTTTAGTCTAAATTGTCCTCATATGTGCGTGTAATTTGGCATCAACTGCAGCGTCTGGGACTGGAAAGAGGAAAAGGTTGTAGCTGACTTCCAGGAAGCTCGTTCATTGACCTCTGAGAGCTGGGTTCAGGATCATGTAATGATGCTTAGCTTAAATCTACACGTTCTTTTTGATCTGGCCCATATTTATGCCTCTGGGAAATATTGTGATGCCTGCAGGTTGATTATTTTATTGATTGCCATTGCTCATCAGAAGATGATCGCTTATGGGTGATTGGAGGCACAAATTCGGGCACCATTGCCTACTTTCCTGTAAACTACAATGGGCGAGCTATGTCTTCCCCTGAAGCTATTCTCGAGGGTGGCCATGCTGGCATTGTCAGGAGCATCTTGCCTGCCCCTGGCTTGCCCGGACAGTCATCAAACAGTGGTATATTTGGGTGGACAGGTGGCGAGGATGGTCGATTATGTTGTTGGATGTCTGATGCGACTTCTGATTTGAACCGCGCATGGATATCAAGCTCCCTGGCAGTGAAGCCAAGTAAGACTCGCAAAAAATCTAGGCATCAACCCTATTAGCGATTGGTTCAACTGATATGTTTTCCGCTCTTTTGTATGTCTTAACCGGGTTAATGCGCTCCTATATTTATTCATTTGCCAGTGGTGACCTTTAATCCACCAGGTGTGTTTCATATTGTTTGGAACATAATATGTTATCTTAATTCTTTATCTTATTAGGGTTACAATTTTTGTTTAGTGAAATTTGTTATTCTATTTCGAAAGTTTCAAGATATAAGTAAAACTCTACATATGCAGATCAGGCTACTTACAAAGTTACATTCACGAATATACAAGGACCTCTGTGGAAAATAGATTAATGGTTTTAAAGAAAGAAGAATAAGTCTTGTGTACAAGGGGTGTATATTAATTTTATTGTAAAACGGTCAGTTTGAGCGTAATTTTAACTATTTTTATGGTAACTTTTACCATTTAGGGTAACTTTTAATTTTTTGTTGGTTTGAATTTTATTTTAATGTGTAATTTCTTATAGATGCGTGATTACATGATATGAAGACTAATACGATTAATTTAATAAATTATAAGTTTTTTGTAAGTTAAAATTTATTAACAGAAAAATAATAACTTTTGCTGTATAAAAAGGGTAACTTTAAGTTCTTTTAATATAAGTTTAATCCGTTTTACAATACTAATGTGCACCCGTCTTTTTGAGAATTTGTGAGAAAGAATGGTCTTCTTCTGCATTTACTCCCAATGTATGTCCATTTTCGAGGAAAGTATCAGACTATCAGCGTTCATTGAACCAAGATAAAGAAAAATTGCATGCACACTGGGGCTAGTGCTCATTCATTTTTTTTTAGTGACGGTAACATTTTAAGATCTAATTTCTCTTAAAAAGTCTGAACCCTATTTTTGGTGGGAAGTCGATGATGTAAAGTTACTTCTCAGCTACCTCACCCGAGTGACTCCAACAGGAAACCGATTCTTGATTCTCTCAGTTCAAGAAACAAGAACTACAACCAAACAGGCACTTGAATTTGATGCACGTATGTTGAAGGAATGGAGAATTGGAGATGAGAAAAACCTGAAACTTGGTTAAGGAGATTGTAGAAAGAGGTTTAAAATTGAGTGATTAACCTGTATACAAAAAAGTAATTGAGGTTAAGTTTTGCTAAAACATATGTTCCCTAGTTAAGTAGGGTATTTCATCTTACCTTAATTTAAAAAAAAAAATAAAAATATATTTATATATATATATGATGCCCTTGATATTGCCTATTTGCCTTTAGTAAATAGTATTTGTTACTGAAAATAAATAAATAAAAAAATATATATTTTAATTTTGTACACCTACCAATTTTAAAAAGCAGGAATAATTACGAGTGTTAATAGATGGCCTTTACTGAAACATATGCCTGAATAATAAACCAGAACAAGCTCTTGGCCCATAAAAAACTATCCAAGAGATTAATTTTGATAATCAATTATGCAGTATAAACTCAAATGAAATTAGTTTTTATAAATGATGACTATGTTTGCTATTCGCCACCAACAACCAAAGAACTATGCCTACCAAGTGCTGTAGATATATCACTGGCTTTCGGCCTTCACAAATCACAATGACCAGGTTGAACACTAAGTGAATCAAAATGACAATTCAACCACAGAAAATTAAGGGGCAACTCAAACTGTTATACAACCTACGGAAAGATACATTACATTATCATACTAGTAGAATCCACAAACTCAATATTTCTAATCACCACCTTGCACACACTGATTACCCTGTTTTGACAAAACGAGCTTAATTCCAAAAACGGTGGCTAATGCATCAAAACCAGCAAAACACCACCGCAACAAGTAGCTCAGCACAAAACCCAGCTGCATTTCATCTACCACGGCCTCCAACTGCCACAAAACAAAAGGATGATCTAAATTAGACTTTTCAAACCCAAGTGGCACGCACCATTCTTAAAATATATAACATTGGGCTGGGGGAGGTGACTTCTATAAACTTGGATCAGTATTGTATACCAACAAACTAAATACGCTGTAACATTTTCCAAGGGCTTAAACTTCTTCTAATTGGAAACTAGATTCTTAAAGAATTAAAAAAGAACCAAATCATACCTTTCCCACCAGGCTTCCCACCAGGACCACCCCGACCTCTGCCTCCAGCACCTTTACCTCCATCATCCATACCGCGTCCAATGCCTTTTAACTGCCGGCCAGGACCATCTTCTCTACCTCTTCCTCTCCCACGCCCTACACCAGGAGGCTTCCTATCTGGAAAGAGTAAATGCATGAATTAAGAACCATTGCAAAGGAAGATTATTCACTAATTCGTAAAATTTTCAATTTGCAATTAAATAATAAAATTGTGTAGCCTATTACAATTAAAATATAACAGAATAATACCTGTGCGGCTCTTCTCCTCCTGGACTTTATCAATGACCTGAAAAGCAAAAGCACCACAAGTAAATTAGACAACTCATCGAACACAAGATTCCGCAAAAAGGTACTTCCTCCGTTTGTTTTTAGTTGACACATTTCTTTATTCACGTTTGCCAATAAATAACTTCAACCATTAATATCTTTGATTATCGTTTAGCAAAATTTATAAAAAGTTTGATATTTTGAAATCATAAATTGAGATGAATCTAACAAAACCGCACATGACTTAATTTCTTACAATGTGCAAATTACATAACATGGTGAGTGTAAATAGTGCCCAAGTAAAAACGTGTCAACTAAAAACAAATATAGGAGGTTAATATGTTGTTCAACTATAAATGGAGCTACTTCAATATAATCGAAGCAGAAAGCAAGAGTAATTATGAAGTTAAGTCACTAATACAGAAGCATTGTAAGATTTGTAACATATAACTATATAAGGGCCATCTAATTGGAGGTACACAACAAACGAAATCATCTCCTCTATATTTCAAAGTATTTGCTTCAATTATTTTTCAGTCGTTCACCTTAACCTCCCCTTGAATCAGTTGAGCCCAAAAACCCCATTGGCTGATCAGGCACAACTCCCCCCCCCCCCCCACCCCACCCCAAAAAAAAAAAGACTTCCCAACTCTCTACTTCCCTGACCAACACATCTTCTAATTTCCTTATCACATCTGCAAATCCTATTTGTTTTATAGTACTCCATCATACCAGCATCAATGATAGACTACCTTGGGAACCCAAATTGGTTATCTTAAATGCTTCTACATTTCCTTAATCAATAATGAGCTTTATCCCTCTTTAACCAGTCTTCAGCATCCTCTTTGTTCTTTTAATTGGTGCTAGTAAGCTCTTCTTCCAAACTCGTGGTATTGTGCTTAACAAGTTTTTTACCCAATCAAAACCAACTTACCATCTAATACAAGAACTTTCTTAAGATTCATTTTCTTTAATACCTTCTGGACTTGCAATTTCAGAATTCTAAGCATATATCATCAATTGATTTCTGGATCTTCAGTAGAGATTCCTCTTGCCGGTAACACCCACTTGATTTCCATCAGGGAAAAAAATATCTATGTATCTTCCCTCCCTTTCCTTATTGTCTTCATCCTAGATTAGAATCCTTTGGAATTTCAAACAAATCACCACATGGTCCTTAATCCTTATTCAGTACTTTTTCTTCTCATAAAACTTTTCCTTAGCCTATCAAAAAACTCAAAGGCCAACTATTAAAAAAAAGAGGTCTTTGATTTTTTAACATTAAAAGAATTTTTTTTAAAAAAAAATTAAAAAAATAAAAAAAACACCCCAAACATTCTGATACTACAAAAACAAGACTTCTAGTCTAATTACCCTACAAATTGGTCATCCATCAAAAGGTCTTATGCTTACCTTACAGTCTTTATTTTTCCCACTTTCCTTCCGCACTCATATCCACCCCTTTTCTTCCCAACTTCCATTGTCAAGAAAGTTGAGCTCTACCTTTCTTAATTGGCTAATTCGTCTTAACTAAACTCACTATCTTCCCCCATCTTTTCCATGTGTGTGAGTGTCAATATGCGATCTCCACTCAGAGTAGAACAAAAGTGAAATAAAACAAGGATTGTTGACAAAAGCAAATTAGTGAGTTAAATTTTTTCTTGGTGAATAGAAATTTTTTTCAATTATTCAAAGAGAAAAAGAAGAAAATGAAAAATGTGTACTAAAATAGAGTGAAGGGTTGAAATCATATGCAATGTTTTCCAATGGGATAGCCAAAAATCTTATCCCATTTTGACAAGAAACTCTTTTTTATTGCATTCCCGTGAGTCCTTTATCCCACTATTAAGTCCCTTGTTCCCAAATAATCCCTCTTCCCCTGACAGTAAAATCAAAAATCTAAAATCTAAATACAGTTATTTAGTATCCATCCTTAAACTCACTCTCTTTTTATTTTCTCTTAACCATTATATGTGTTTGATTTGTAATCAACAATTACTAATTTACCATTGCACCAAAATCTACTAGGAACTTAATATTGGAAGGAGGATGTCAGAGAAAGTACAATATCTGTCACCAAAATTCTGAAATATTCTTATTTATACCAAAGTGTATATCAAAGTGGCAAAATCCCTCACTATAAATTCCACTTTAACAATACGACCACATTTTGTAAAGTCATCTTGCAACCTACCATTTTCTTTTTGTAAAGGGTGTAAATATATTTTGTGACACATTTCCATTTAAAGACTAGCTCCAAACAATTCTGGTGCAAATCACCAGAATGTAAATACTTTGTATAGAATTTAAAAAATATATATGGAGGGCACAATATTGGGTTGTACCAAGGCTTATGACTCCTTATATAAAAGCAATAATTTGCCAACCCCCCCCCCCCCGGGCCTCTTCCTAACTCCATCAATACCTCACCTCACCTCCATCGATTTCATTCCTTTCATTATGTCTCCTATTAGCTATTACCCCCTTAATTTCATTACTTCCAATCTAAGAATGCTCTACGAGAAGAAGTAGGAGGCAAACACTGAAAATTGAGATTGTTGAAAAGCATATTAAAACATATAGATGTTCTCATGGTATTACTTCAGTGAGTGGAGATATGTGGGATCTAAATCTCATACTGATTGGACTACTATGAAGATAACAATGGAAAATTATTTATTTACTACCATTCCTCTTTTGTCACAAATGAATCAACCGGGCTTCCTTTTGTTGAGAATTTGACAGGAGTGTCTTTGATGTTAATGGAAACCCAAAAAACACACCTCTTTTCTACATTTGGTGTCCACATACAACCTTCTAAGAAAAAGTGCCTTTCACTTACATTGTGAATAGGAAAATTTCACTTTTGCTACCACCAAAACACATGCATTTCACTTTTGCTACCCCTTTAAAATTTATTTTTATTTTACTACCACACAAAAACACCTTTGTTAAAATTTGCTACCACTTAACACTTTCAGTTACTATTTCCGTTAGTGAGATCCTGCCACCCTCAATGTCACCTTCCGGCCACCCCTCCCTCCTCAGCCACCCTAACTGCCTCCCCGTCAGCCACCAAGAAAAAAATATAATAAAAAACCCAACAACCAAAAAAAAAAAAATTAAACAATAACCCAGTCCCCTCCCCATCAGCCACCCCCGCCCTGCCGGCGGCCGGCGCCCAAAGCTTTGGCCGGTGCTGACGACCCTGCCCCACTCCCTTTCTCTTACCAACGCAGCCCACCCCCTCCTTTTTCCCCTTCTTGCTACCCCGACCCCACCCCGAACCGGAAACCACCCCCCTCCCCATTCCCCCACCACAATGCGCCGCTACTGCTGCTGCTCCTCCCTTCGAACAAGTCGCCCTACTCCCCAGCACCAAAAACCGGCACCTCTAACCCTAAACCACCAGCCCGAAACCAGCCTAAACGGGATTTAGGGTTTCGTTTATGGTGGTGTCGGCTGGTGTTTAAGGATTAGGGGTGGCTATTTTGGGTGGGGGAAGGGGAAGAGGAAGAGGAAGAGGATCGATTCAGGGTGAGGGAAGGGGAGGGGGACCGATTCCGGTGGGGGGGATGGGGAGGGAGGGCTGTTTTCCGGTTTCGGGGTGGGGGTTGGGGCAGCGAGAAGGGGATAAGGGAGGGGGGTGGGCTGTGTAGGTGGAGGAAAGGGAGGGGGATTGGAGTCTCCGGCGCCGGCCGGGGGGAGGGGGGAGGGTGGCTGACGGGAGGGGGCTAGCTGGCAATTGAAGATGGTGGGATGCGTAGGTGGAGGAAAGGGAGGGGGAAGGGTGGCTGACGGGTTGAAGGTGGTGACTCGGTTTTTTTTTTTAAAACATTTTATTTTTATTTTTATTTTATTTTTTTGAATAAACTTAACGAAACCTTAACAGATTTCCGTTAACTGGTAGCAAATATTAACAAATGTGCTTTTAGGTGATAGTAAAATAAAAATAAATTTTAAAGGGGTAGCAAAAGTGAAATGCATGTGTTTTGGTAGTAGCAAAAGTGAAATTTTCCTTGTGAATAACAAAACACAGCTTGCTAGACAGCTAAGTACAACAGTGTGAGGAAGTAAAGATTCAATTGCTGATTACAACACAGCCAGATCCCAAGGAGCAGACACTTACCACTCTCTCTCTCTCTCTTCTTTTTCTTTATTTTTTAGAGAGGGGGGTATAACAAATGGAAGCAAACAAACAATTAACATAGTAGATGTGTTCTTCTCATAAGAGGTTGTCATAGTAGATTTTAAAATATTTTTAGAACAGAAGTTGGGAACTGAAACAAGATTCCACAGTTTCTAATGCTCATTCCACTGCTATATGGTGGCAAATCTCCATGTAGGGGAGAGATATGACATCTGAAGTTTTTTGAAGGCCCCAATTCACCAAATGGGATGCAAGATTTGCATCCAGTTCGACCATTTAAAACATATTTAATTCCTAAGCAACTAAGTTAGTGTCTTTCTAATTCTATATTAACTTCAAGTGTAACTTAAATGGAATAACAGTATCACCCTCATCAGAGTTCAAGAAAATATAGATCAGAATATACGGTCGTGTAATATATTATCTTAAAATAGTACACAAATCTAATAAAAGATACATCCTTTACAATAGAAGAAATGTCACTAAGAATTTAAAATAGGCATGGAGGAAGATGAGTATGATTTTACAGTTGATGTCTAATCAGAATACAAAAAAATTGTATCCTTCACCATAATTAGAGTTCAAGATAATATTGAACATATTAAAAGGTCTGGTTTAATGTATTTGCTTTAATGTGAAAACAAGAGTACTAAAAAGAACCCACACTAGAATAAGAGAGCCCCTCAAAGGATAAAGAAACCTCTAAAACTCGTAATTCCATCCTATAAGATTCTAAATTAGGAGACAGGTACCATTACAGTGATTGTGAAGTTGTTGCATCATTGGAAGTTTAGATCCAACATGAGTATCAAATTTTAAAATACCCTTAGGTCTTATCATTGCGGACTAAAAAAAACGTGCTTCTAGGACTTCTTAAGTCCCAAACCGCTCGTCAATAGATATGCCCTCTATACTATAGACTACACAATTCAAACACCTTCCCCATAACCCAACAAAAACGAAAGAAAGGAGGGCGACAGGCAGGATCCTAACAAATCAATATGCTTTAATAAGCACTATATAACATACGCAACTCTCTCCAATGAAATTGAATCGAAACATTACCTCATCAGGCACTCGTAAATACTTGATAGTATTCCCTCGGATGTAACATTCAGGCATTCTCCAAAACCTATCTCCATCCTACAATTCAAGTAAAAAGAAGTCATATTTCACAGCCGAAAATTTGAGTAAACTAATCAATCAACAGGCAGAATAAATTACCTTAGAGGTACAGATGACTTCACGAAGATGAATATTCATCCATGTATCACAATTAACCAAATGCCCATTATATGTCTCCCCATTCTTCAATTCCACCAACTGTTGATTATTAAAAAAAAAATAAAAAAAATAAAAAAATAAATAAAATTGATTCAATTTTGGGTATATCCCAAAATTCACATAAAAATTCAAAATTAAGTTAAAAAAACTAAAATTTAACCAAAAAAAAAAAAAGTATTAAGCGTTCTAACCATAGGGTGGCCTTGCGCAGTCTTCAATAATGATAGAGGAAGCTGAAATTTTCAAGCATAAAATTGAATTATTTAAAAATATATATATAAGTAATATAAATCATAATAATAAGATAATCAACAAACATTAAAGAGAGAGATAAATTACCATTGTCAACTAGAATTAGATAAATCGATCAAAGAGCAAAGAACTGCAACAATTACCAAGAACAAAAATTGAAATTCAATTAAATTTTAGGGAGCGAATTGTGGATTCAAAGATACAATTAACTAGAATTTGAAAGAATTAAGCAATGAAAGAATATAAGAAAGCGATTAATACCTAGAAAGTGATAGAGTTCAACTTCTGGGAAAGTTTGAGTGTGCCCTAAATCAATCGAATCCTGAATTTGGGGAAATAATAGTGAGGAAGGGAGGAAAGGCGCGGCTTTGTACTCGAATTCCGAGGGAGTACTTCTTACTTAGTACTTCAATTTTCCAAATTCAACATATTTTAGGGTTTGTATTTAGGGGTTGTAAATTATTATTAAATCGTATTGAGAAAAATTAACCCCGACAGTCCCAACTTTAAAAGGTTTATACTATCGATTAACTTAGAGCGATCCTGGTATTGGGGTCTTTCGCAAAACGGTTTCAAACATATTTTTAACCAATTTGACCGGTTATTAGTGACACGTGGCTTATTTTCGTTAGATGTAGTTAAAAAAATTAATTCTCCAACCTTTTAAACACCTGCCCCCATCCGTTTAGGTAACCCGATCGTATTAAGCTGGAGACTGTTTTAAGAAGGACCTCAAAAATGGGACTGCCATGAGTTAATCGATAGTTTTGACTTTTTAAAGAAAAATGTCCATAGTTAGGACCGATAGTGTCAATTTTCCTTATTATTATTGTGGAATATTAATTATTTATACTTAGTGTATACTAGCTTAAATCCTGTGGTATGCACGGTTTTACTAAATTTTATAGTGAATTATATTGCAACAATTATATACCAAAAGATTACGAAGTATATATTTAAGGGAAACGAGATATTTAGAATTTTAATTTATACCCATGCCAAAGATGTTAAGATTATTGATGCAAATGACTTAACAAATAAAATAAAATGAAATAAATTTATGTACTATGAGGTTTTATACTACCCCTTATAAAAAATGAAAATTTTAGATTAGTACTCATACAATACACACACATGGATATACCATTCGTCGTTAATTTGTTAAAATACTTTATTTGACACAATGTTTTATGTAAATTTATTTGATTTTATTTTACTTTGTGATAATTAATAACCATTTTTTTATTTAGAATTATTGAGTTTTTAAGGCTTTTTACATAATATATATATGAGTATTTATTAATATAATAACATTTGTTTAATTAATTTTTATAGGTTATTGCAGACATTATTATGTTGAAGTAGGGAATGAAAAATTGCATTCCTGAAAAATTATACATTTTTTTATTGATTAGTTAAGATTGTGTACGTAATATATTATTATAATTTTCTTACCTGAAAATATTATTAATATGAAGAGTAGAAATTTAAAGAACATACTACCTTCTTTTCTGAAAGTTTGACTCACTTACTATTCATGTGGTGAAAATAATATAACTTTGACCAGATTTTATGATTTATATAATCAAAATAAATTAACAAGTTTGATCTTATTAGATTCTCCATATGATAAAATTTTCAAATATCAACTTTTTAAAAATTTTACTTGTACAAAGCCGAACTTATTAATGGTCAAAGTTGTTCATTGGAGACCGTGCAAATGCAAATTGAGTCGAACTTTCAGGAATGGAGGGACTACATTTATATATGTTATTAAAATATTTTCTTCTCTAATTAAAATAGACTTTATTACCAAAAAGTTGGAGGGAAAAAAAATGATTATACAAAGTCCTTAGCTAAATATACTATTCTAATTATATACTTCGAAGTACCTTAAATATAAAAATAAAATATTATAGTTATTGAGGTTTGACTAAAAGAAAAATCAAAAAAAAAAAAGAAAGGAAAAAAAGGCGGAAAAATATTTAATCAGGAGATGACACGTGTCATTCCTGATTCGCCTTTAGTATATAGTTAATATAGATAAGTTAGTTAATTTATTTCAAAAAAATGTTACTTCTTATTAGTTTATTATTAAATTATTAGTGATCTAATAAATAAAAACAATATAGAGTATAAGCTTAATCAAATTAAGTTTAGCAAAAAATAATTACATTCAGCAAAAATAAACTATGTTTAGTAAAAGTCATTAACCTTAAAATACAAATATAATAACGAATTAGTTAAATTAAGAGGGTTTTTCTTTAAGGGAAAAATAAGCGGTAAAGAATTTAATTTCATAAAATTTTGTAAGAAGAATTTAAGTTCAGTATATATTAGATGAATAGGGTATATCCGCATATGAGATAGATTTTACTTAAACCCAATAAATTGATGTGATAATATTTGTTTGGAGTGATACTGTAACGCGTACTAATAAATGCACGATAACAGTTACAAGATTTTTTTTATTATAGAGTATTAGGATCATTCTAACAGTTGAAATGATGATTATTTGATACTTAAAATCTAAACTAAAAATCTTTCTGAAAATTTCTTCAAAGTTCACAATTCTCATGTCCATAGTGATGGGTGTAAACATATTTCTTGGATGGAGGGAATATAAATTATTTGGAATTTTTCAAATAATTATGTAATACTATCAATGTCCATCACTCTTATAAGACAAGCATAAACTTCAAATGGTGCCATTGAAAAAACGTAAGTACGAAGCATTAAACATGTAAAGAGCATGGAGATAGATGGAAGAATGCTACAAGCCTCAACTTTCTATTAGAAAGAGTGTACCAAAAAACTCTCATGAAAGTTCTTGGGCCTATCGCAAGCAAGTAACTTGTCTTAGCAAATTCAATCCTTGTAGCCATTTTGACAAAATTCCACATAGTGATTAGGAAAGTGCATGGCCATTGGAAGGAATACAAGGATCACTGATGACTACTAGTTAGAAGGGGGTAAAAATAAACTTCAAGGCCATTGCCAGTGAGAAGCAGAGACAACCAGGATTTTCCCTGCTCAAAGAATCTATTTTCAGGTTAAAAGAAACTAACAAGCGCAATCAGAGTTCTGTGGACATCAAACATGGTCAACAACTATTTTAGAGCAGAGGAGTCTGTGTAGAGCTAGTTCCACGATCCATTTTCACTGATGGTGCCTAGAAGAGAAGCAAGAAAGGGCAAATTATTGATGGGCTTGGTTGGGTCATCCAGGGGGAATTGGTACAAGGAGGGAAGACAATCCTGGTTCAATCACTTCTACAGGCCGAGTTACTTGCAATCAAGGAAGGACTAAAACAAGCATAGGGACTTAGCAAATCCTTGGAGGTTTGCACAGACAGCCTAGAAGCTTTAATTAGGGCTGAGCAAAAATATCCGAAAACCCGAACCATAACCGAACCGAATACTAGAGTTCCCGTTCCGATAACCATAACGGTTCGGGTACCTGATCCGATAATTTGTTATCGGGTATGGTTATTGGGTATCATTTTAAAATTAATGGTTACCCGATGCGATCCGATAAGCAATTTTTTTCCTTTTTTTTTCCTACTAAAATCTATTTATCCAAAATCTAAACTCTTACTATACTTCATAATCACTTCATATTTTAAATGATTAGTAATATTATTACTCCCTCCGTATTTGAATAAGTGTTACACTTACTAAATCCAGCCGTGTTTTAATAAGTTACACTTCCTTTTTTGGCAAAAAACTACATTTAAATATTATATATCTCTCCTCTCATGGTCCCCACCTAAACCCACTACTACTTTTTTAATTATATATTTCCTCTCACATTCGTTACTTTTCAAAAAACTATTAACCCCACTATCTTTCTTTTATAATTTTTTAATACTCCAACTATTCCACTTACCTTTTATTTTATTTAAGTCAATTAAGTTGCCTAAAACTATGTGCCGATCAACCTGTAACACTTATTAAAACACGGAGGGAGTAATAATTTGGTCATAATCATGTGGTATAATTGTTAATTAGTGTTGAATAATATCATAATAACTAAATTATAAAGTCTAACTTTTCATTATTGGATATCATATTGGGTACCCGGTAACCGATCCGAAAATCCGGGTACCCAAACTTATCGATTCGGTTAATGAATATCATTTTTAGTGTTATTGGTTATCGAGTACCCCAACCGACAGTGTTAACAGTACGGTTACCTGACTCATGCTCACCCCTAGGTTTAATGTGTATTCAGAAACCTAACTCAACACCATGGAAAATCTGACGACTAGCACAAGAAATCAATATCCTTTATTGTAATCTAGACTACTTTTGTTGTAATAAAGTTTTAAGGGAGGTTGTATCTAAGGCCCATCTCCTAGCCACTAGGGCTAGAAAAGAAAGATGGGTCTAAATAGCGTCTCTTTTATTGTTTGCTTGCTGAAAAAAAAAATGTAAAGAGTAGAAGTCTATATGACCTTAAGTGAATGGCCATATATATATATATATATATATATATATATATATATATATATATATATATATATATATATATATATATATATATATATAAGGTACAGAAAACCATGACCATACCTCAACCCTCCCAGTTTTTATGATTCGATATTTGCAGGTCAAACACTTCGAGAGTGAGGGAAAAAATATAACGGATCTCCACCCTTAAAGTGTCATTAGTGGGGATTGAACCCCCAACCTCAAGGCTGGAAGGTGCAATCTCTCCCACTAGACCAAACTTAATCTAGTTAGTAACTTGGTGTCACGGTCCGAGATTTTGAGCACCGGAACGTGCGGCGCGCTCTAACCTTTAGGTGGCAAGAGTGCAATCCTTAATGCGGAAAATGGGGCTTGTGAACACTCACATCTATTTGGCGATGGAGAGCGAGTGCGGACACAAGCGGATTCGAAGCACGAGTTCTTAGTGCATCAAGTTGGTGGGAAAAGGGAGTTATTATACAAGACACAAAATCTATAAAGGTCTAACAACAAACAAGGTAAAAGGCTTAAGATTTCATTCAAAAATCATTCACCCTCTACAGAGCTTAAAATAGTACGTCCTCCGTCCCATAATACTTGGGACGTTGGGGTGGACACGTAGTTTAAGAAATCTACAAGTGGGTCTATTTAAAACATTAGTTTATTGAATAAAGATTCTCTTTTGTATTTTTATATTACAAGAAAACATTTGGGTCAGAGTAGGGTAGACGAGGAGAGAAAAAATATGGAAAAATATTTTTTAATTAGTGGTCTCATTCCATATTTAGTAACGTGTTAAGTATTGTTGGACGGACGAAAATGGAAACCTATGTCAAGTATTATGAGACGGAGGGAGTACATGCATAGAATCCCTAGTGAACACTAAGATGAAAACACAATAATAGGATCTAATACATAAAAAACATAAAGTAAACTCTAAAAAAGCATTAAAAGGGCATCTAATACATGAAAGAAGGTTGGATTCTAACACTTGGTCTTG